TTGAGAATGATGAGGGCAATGAATGTACAAATGTGCTTTACACAATTGATGTATGTATGGATTGTGATAAGAGTTATATGAGCCCCTAATAAAATGATTTTTAAAAAAGAAAAGAAAAATAAAGAATTTATCTAGAATTACCATAAGGCAGAACCCTGACTTTGGTCTTTTGATAATGAGTAGTTCTTTCTCTACTACCACATTGCCTTTCTTCAAATGCATAAAAAATTGTGACTCACGATTTAACAATTACTGGATTGGGGAGGAATCCATATTCCACAGAATCAGCATTCTGATGATTTTCCAGTTCATGAGAACCACTTAGCTGTTTTCCGCAGTTAGCAAGAGTCCAGTTGGGGCCCCAGCCCACACGAAATGAGCGTCCCATAAATAGGGCCATGTCCATCAAGAGTTTCCCTTTGCCATATGTGACCGACTTTTCAAGAGGTACCAGGCCTAGCTGCCTGCGGGTACCAACTGTTTTCAAAAGAACCTCAGGGGCTGGGCTAGGTACCGTAAACACAGAGGTCAGAGGTGGGGGAACAGACCAAGGAGGTGTGGATGGGATATTCATTACAGCTGAAGTTCTGGGAGTACGGCATTCTTGCACAGAGGCACTTGTTGAATGAAAAGCTCCACTTATAAATTTTGATTGTAGCAACCCACTAACTGAAATGAAAATGGGAAAAATATGATTAGAAACAATAGTTTATGGCCTCTTGACCAACAACAAAAAGCAGTGAAGCTGAAATTAAGAGTCTTACAAAACCAATTAAATCACATGCAGATGTGCATAAGTAGTTTATAAAGTCAGATTTGGTAGAAACTACTCAATATTTCAACCAGGAAATCAAGACAGAAATTCCAATGACAATACAGATTTTTCTACTATAATTAAAAATTAGCTCCATTTGCAGGGTCCCTACATGGATTATGTCACCAGTGAATTCCCTTTGACCATAATCCAGCGACGTGAATAACTTTGCTATCAGAGAGCACTATAAACTCAATTATGACTTAAAGTATAGATGCAGATAGGTTAAAGTATAATGCCTTATCATTTGATCTCCCTCTTAACCCATCTTAAAGTTATTTAATTAAAAAAAAAAAAAGGTTAGGGCAAATGCACATGGATTGAGCCCCTGGTGAAGTCTCTCTGGCCATGGGACAGGGATGTGAATAACCTTACTAACTTGCAGAGTACAATGCAAACTGGATTGTTGCAGAACCAGTTAAGGCAGCGGTTCTCAACCTGTGGGTCGCGGCCCCTTTGGGTGTGGGTGTGTGTGTGTCAAACAACCCTTTCACAGGGGTCGCCCGATACATATCAGTAGCAAAATTATAGTTATAAAGTAGCAATGGAAATTATTTTATGGTTGGGGGGGTCACCACAACAAGAGGAACTGTATTAAAGGCTCGCAGCATTAGGAAGGCTGAGAACCACTGAGTTAAGGTAAAATCTACCTCTGTATCATTTGTACTTCCTTTTTACTCATTTTAATTTTTTTCTGGACTTTGGTGTTTCCTGCTTTCCGTTTGCTTGGGTTTTTTTTTTTTTTGGTTCATTTTGTGATTGTTGTTTTTTGCTATGTTTTCAATTATATGAAATTCAGGATGGGAGGATCTATGGAGATACCAACTGGATTAATGGTTTAGTAGAAGGGGGTGTGAGGGGAGGTTAGAAGGAAATGGGGAGCAGGTAGCTGTGGGTGCAGGAAGAAAAAAAATATTCTGAAACTGACTGGTGATGACTTTATATGACCTAACTATTAAAGTGCGTATGTAAACTATCTGTCAATAAAACTATTATAAAAAAACCCAACAACCTAGGAAACACTTAGCTGTTACAATCCCACTATAACAGCAAAGGGAAAGCCTTAAAATTAAACACGTAGTCACCTTTGGGAATTTGGAGTGGCTAGGGAAATGCAAAACGATGACAAGTTTTGTGTACTATGAGGCAACATTCATCCCTAAAAGATAGTAAAAGGACTGCACAAAAAGAGTGCAATTTGGTGATTTTCCTAAGTAAGATATAGTCAGGATTCCTTAAAATTGTCTACTCCTGATAGATATTTTATAAGAACACAATTTATATCATTCTTAGAAATATGGATGGTGAGATTTCATCTCACATACTCCGGACATGTTATCAAGGAGGACCAGCTCCTGAAAAAGGAGATCACGTGTTCGGTAAAGTAGAAAGTCAGAAAAGAAGAGGACCCTCGATTAGATTGACTGAAGTAGTGGGTGCGATAACGGGCTGAGGTCCAGGCATTGTTTCATTCTGTTGTACATTAAGATTGCTATGAGTGAGAACTGACTTGAGGGCACTTAGTGACATCTACTGATGTACCGATCACAGGTATGACCTCCATGGCAATATACAAGAGAAGTCCATTCAGTTTAGATGTGAAAAGTAGACCCTGATGACTCTACAGTTTCTTTATAACACAGCATCTTCTTTTATAATACCTAATGAACGGGACTTCGATGAATGGGATGCTGAAATAGGGAGCCTGGGAGAACAGATTTCTTGAGAAGCATCTGCTTTAGATGGAAGGCGGCTGAAGCGCTGATCTAGGACCGTATCGACATCTTCATCATCAGCAAGCAATGATGCTTTCATGATCTGAAAAAGGCAATGTCATAAAAGAAAAAGAATTTAATGAAATCATTTGGCCTCAGGGCTCTTTTCAGACAAGTGTGACATTTATATGATTTCCTCTAAATGTTGAATGGCAGAGATATACATCACACTTTTCCTTGTATCTCTGGAGAGTATTACCTGAGTTTGGCACATAGCAGTTATTCACAGGTTGATTGAATGAGTAACTTTAAAGTCAAACAAACTAGAAGCTAAGCTCAACATATCAAAAGGCCTGGGGAAGGGGAAGTTGGGGTAGAATTTAAAACAAATTTGTATCTCCCAGGATTTTTAAAATCTTACTTTAAAATAAAATAAAATGTGAAGTACTTTATAGCGCACTAAAAGTAGCATGTAAAGTTGTCTAGAAAAGCCAGTGCTCACAGTTACTGAGTAAACGCATCAAAAAGCACACAATAGGGTTTTAAAACTAGGATTAGAATCTAGGTCTTCTAATTCTCATGCAATTAATACCTGAAACCATAATTTCTGATTATCAATATAGGTTGGTCTTCCTAAATGGGCCAAGACCCAAACATTGCCCATGTTGTCATTATTCCAGTGAGCTCTCACTAGATAATCAAGTGAATGTTCATTGCTAAGTGGATAATCAAGGAAGTGGCATGGTGCTATGCAAGGGTGACAGAAATTAGAGTTTGGCTTCCTGCTATAGAAAGGGTGGGTTAGGATTTCACCTGTAAAACATGTGGATTAATTCCCATTGATGACGCAATGTGTGTTGAGGCTGACACAGGTTCCTGATCCTCAGGTATGCTCTCTTCTAACATGGAATCCGAAACCGGCTCCTGGGTGATATCTATCATGTCACTGTCCAGCTCCACAACCCTCCCTAACTGCTCCACCTCTGGGCTGTGGCTCTGTAGATAGCAGAAAGATTAGGAAGCAGTATTAAAGGACACCAAATAGAAAAACTTCTAAACCAGACTTAATTCATAATAGATCAATATCAACTTCTGTCCATTCCATCAGATGAGGTAGCATATTTGTGCTAGAGGACTTACCCACCTAGAACTCCCCCTCCTCTAAGTACCTGGAATCCAAATGAAGGTTCACACAATCATCCTTCAGTAACATTATGGTCTGGTATCTGCCATCTAAACCAACCAATCAACTTGGTACGCTAGGAACCTAAGCTCACTGACCCATACTGAAGGAAATGATGGTCTTCAGACACAAACATCATGCCATACCTGGTAGCTAGCGACTACAGTATTCCGATTTATCCAGGTTCACCCTGCCCACACTCCCTTGTAGCCAGAAGTTATTAGGAAATGAGAACAACAACAAAAAAAAGGAAATGAGAACAAAAGATACGAAGTCCCTTGCAGAACTTTTCTTGAAGAAAGCGCTTAGAAATAAATTTCTAAAGAGATACAATTTTGGGCCCAGAATTTATCTTATGGGTAAATGAATCCTAAAGTTAGTTGGTCTCTACCTGTACAGTTCCATGTAATAATACAAGAAATGGTCACGTGGTGAACCATCACTTAAAATGTGAACAATCCCCAAGGCTACTCTAACAAATTTCTTGGATGTTAGATAACGGTCCCCAGGCAACCGGGCCACTATTTTTCACCTATTGGGGGTGCTATACACAGGTCTGACTGGTCTTAAGTTGTAAATACAGGTTTGTGGGAAAGAAGCCCTCATGAAGGTGCTCTGATGATAATGTATGAGCTGTGGGATAAGATTTTCAAACATTCACACCATGGAGTCTCTACTATGTTCATTTTGACCCAAATAATTCAATTTGGGAAAAGGTCTTCATAAATCTCTTCCCCATCCCCCGACAACTTTCAGGTTCCCATAACAGTTTACACCTCTTCTATAACAAATCACAACTTATCTTAATTTCTTGATATGCATTTGTCCCATCAGAAAAACAAGGATGGAAAACAAGGCTTGTGCCCTACTGTTTTTATACCAAATACCAATTACCCTATCACTGAGTACTTATTTCTATTGCCTATTACATTGCCTGACACACAGTAAAGAAAGCAATTTATGTGGAAGGGCAAGAAGGGAAGTAAAAGAGGGAGGACGGCTCTAACTTAGAGATCAAAGACATTCAGTGTACCCTTAAGAATGCTAACGATGGAAGACTTTATTTGCTCCACCGTCATATGTGCAGACTTCAAAATTACCAGATAGCATGTAGTAAGTGGCAAGAGGGAATTGGTATGAAACTATGAAGACTTGATAAATCCCTTATATAGGACTTCTGTTAAAGTCTTCCTAAAACTTTTACATTTAAGTTGTTACAGAGTTTATTTCCCCCTTCCACAAAAGGTCAGCCATGTTCATTTTCTGAGAAACAGTCCTAGAGAGAAAAATGGGCTAACAAAAATGATGGCAAAGATGGAATTAGGGGGCAAAAAATTAAGAAGGGGTCTTCTAGACGATCTGTAGAACAAGCCCAAGGCTTTCCTCTACTGAACTCTCCCTTTCCTATACCACATTCACGACTTCTTGAAGGCAGGATCATGACCTATTTATTTACTGACACGTAGCAGTTAAGATCTTTACAAATAACTAAGTACACAGATAGTAGCTATCAAATGATTGCTTGAAATATGAAGGGTGAAGAGATCACCAAAGAATCATGATTAAAACCTTGAATAACTTGAGAACCTTCTACTATAGCAAAATAATCTACTAACTCAGTCAGTAAAATGTATATCAGGATATTTTAATTAAGCAAAAAGAAAACAGTAAGTCCAAGGTCTAACAGAATCTGTGAATAACACATTATCTTCTCAGACCATTCAATCATATAACTATTACTGTTGCCTACCCGCAAAATATTTTATAACCAGGAAAAATTCTTTATATTCATTTTGTTTGAAAATCAGCCCTCTCAACAATATTGTGTCACCCGTTAAGGAAGAGTCTCGTCAGAGTTTTAAGGGCCCACACCAAGGAAGGCAACTATGTATCTATCCTACATACACTTGCAGAAGGCAAAAGTGTTAGAATTAACAATCTTCTATTTAATTTTAAAATCAATTTGCACATAAAATATTCAAGCAGATACATGCAGAGTGAATCTGTCCTTCAATAATAATAAAGAATCTATGGCTGTAAAATTATTACATGTATGTATAAATGTGAAACCATTATGAGTGGGATTCAAGAAGTTTGTGAGAAAGTGGAATTACAAGATAATGAAAAATGTCCAGTTTTTGCAGGCCCCATACATATATTAATTAAACCACTGAATCAATTGAGAGTTGTCCTTTTATTTCCAGAGAATATTCAAAATAAACTGAGATTTTCTTTTAAACCCTAATCATTCCCCATCCACCAGTCCTGTAACTTATTTGCATGAGCTCACTGAGTGCACGATACTAAGTTTATGAACAATTCAATTAGTTTGTGTTAACAGAACAGTGAAAGCTGAAGTAAGAAAAAGCAACATGCATCTCTACTTGAGCAAAGGTCTGAGGTCTTTTTTGCAAGCAGTTTCAAAACCTAGCTGCTTAAATAACTCAAACACCATGAGGGAAGTATTTTTTTTTTTTTTAAATATGCCTTAGACTCGTGCCAGTTCTATGCAATCAACTTAAGCAACAGGGAGAGCTCAGTACAGCATTTTGGAGCCATCGTTTTAATGGTTTAAGGAGCCCTGGTGGCACAGGTTGAGGAGTTCGAAATGAGCAGCCACTGTGTGGGAATAAAGATGAGGCTTTCTACTCCCATAAAGATTTACTGCCTCAAAACACCACAGGGGCAGTTCTACTCTGTCCTATAGGGTTGCTGTGAGTCAAAATAGACTAATGACAGCAAGTTTTTTTAATTTTAATAATTGAACCAACTTCTCTGTCACTGCTTTAATTCATCTGTGTCAATGTTAACACTTTCTCTAACATAAAAGGTAAAGAAAAGATTGCAAGGAAATTTAGTCAGCTTTATGTTTTCTGGCTATTTAGATCTACTTGTGTTTGTAGGAGTAAAAAGAGGGCCTAAAGTGAGAACCGAGGGTGAAGTAATGTGATTAATAGAAAAAAGTGCAAATCTTCCTGAATACCTAGAGAAGTTAACACTTCTCCCATGTTTGCTGACCTGAGGTTGAATACAGGAAAAAATATAACAGTAGACTGTAGGAACAGGAACTTAACCTCTCTCAAGGAGCCAGCAGGCAGTGTGAAGACAATCATTTCGTTACTAAGATAAGAAGACTGTGCTGCTGCTTGTTCATTAAGATGGGTCAAGGATTTCCCTTTGGTAAACAAAATATGTAGTCTCTACGGCTAACAGGAAATCCCTGCGTGAGGCAGTCAGCACACTCAACTGCTAACCAAAACACCTGGAGATACCTCAGAAGAAAGGTCTGGCAGCCCACACCCCCAAAATCAAGTATTAACTCTATTGAGTACAGATCTCCTCTGACACACACGGGGCTGACATGAGTCAGACCGGACTTGAAGAGTACTAGCAAACACTGGGATTCCCCACTGTCTCTCACAGGGCAGTATAAAAGAAGAGCTCTTAAGACTCTTGCAGTTCTGCTCCAGCAAACTACACTCAAGGCCTTCATAAACAAGAAAACAGAATTTAAGGTATAAATAGCGGAATAATTCTACCCTCTCTGCTCTCTTCATCCCAGATTTCAAAGACCATCTACTTCCTCAATCAAAAGAAATAAGCTTAAAAAATATCTTTTCACTGTAGTATTTCATTTTGAATCCTTACCATCTCTATTTTAAAAAAGAAAAAGATCACTCCTTGCTAAAACCATGCTCCTCAAAATTTTAAGTGCCATGTGTGCTCAGTTTTCTTTTTAAGCTGTTATCATTAGGGTCCTAAAAGTTAACTATAGTTAACAGAAAATCGGGTGATTTGACTCTTGCTATCTAAGATACATACAATGTTAACATAAAAGACACTTTGGAAAGGGAATGCCTAAGGCATGTCATTCAAACAAAATGAACAAAGCACCCAGGTGACTTTGTTGATATTCTAAAGACTACATTAAACCAGCGTATTTTTTCAATTTTATGCTTTTACCACCCTCCCCTCACCCTGTGTGTGTGCAAGCATGAACGTATGTACACAACATTCTCCAGCAAAAGTCTCCCCAAAAATTATTTAATAAATCCAAAAAATTGCACATTTCAGCAGGCATAGGATTGTAATGGAAAATCCAAAGTTCTAGCATTTAGGAGAGGTAGAGGATGTTTTACAAAGAAATCTAGTATCAAAATTCTTCAAGTGTGTGGAAGCAAAGGAAAAAAATATCTTTATAACATGATTGATTATAAAGCAATAACCAAAAGTAAAACTGAGTTGGCATTGAAAAAAATTCCTAATCTTTAGATTACAAACCTTTCCCGACAAGTATGAAAGGTCTACATTGGTAACAATCCTGGAAAAGCGCACGATACAAGCAATTGCAATGAACAATGCAGTCTTTCCTTTCCCCAAGACCAGTAATTCATTTGAATTTTAAAACTTTTATCTATTTTCATAAAGATGTATTGTTGAAATACAAATATTAAGAGGTTACTTGAAGTATGTATAAGCAACTAATTTAAGAGTAAATAGATGTTAAAAACCTTTGCAGGATGATGATTTTTTTTTTTTAGAGAAACCTGGGAGGTAAAGATTAAACTGCACACCAGATAGTCAAGAAAAGTAGAAATTACTTATCAACCTGCATGAACAAATAATCTTGGGTTGATCACTGAGTAGAGAATTCAACAAGTCCAAATGAGAGAGGGAGGTGTTTAGGAATGACATCTGTAGACTGGATGATTCACACAGCAAGAGAATTCTTTAAATCTCTCAAGAAAAACCCAGATGCCAGTACCACCGCACACCCTCCCTTTAGTTGTCTCAACGTGATTGCCAATGCATTGGTGCTCTTCAAAGTTCCAGACGTCATAACACAGCTTTGTATTAGCTGAATGATTTGCTTTCAACTTCTGTATCATGGGTTCCATTCAATTCACTGCGCCTTTTCTACCTGGGGTGGGGGTGCTGGTTTGCCATTAAGAGCCATCTGGAATGGGCTAGTTTGGCCTGCAGGAGGCACTGGGGCAGTCTTCAACTTCTTTGTACTAGTTTTAGATGGCTTCTCCTCATCCTCTTCATCAGAATCCTGAAGACCATATTTAGAAAAATGAGAGACCTAAGAAAAAAATGTTTAAAAGTGAATGAATATATAAATGGTTTTAAATGCAATTACTAATATAAGAAAATTGAATCCAAAGAAGCTGTTTTGTCATTTCTACATAAATATTATCTCATACTTCTACATAAGAGCCTTCAACAAGTTAAATAATCCAATTGTCTAGAAGAAGAAAACTGACATGTACTTAAGAAGAGACAAAGATAAAGAACTAAGTCTGAGGAATTATTAAAGTCCCTAATGATGCCATAAACCAGAGGGGCCACACCTTACAAGTACACATAGGACTGTAGTAAAGGATTTGAATCAGGAGTTTACAGTAGCCCATTTTTACTATGGGTTTTAATAACTTGTGTAATGTGGGACAAACCCCCATGTATCTCTTGATCAAGTCTACCATCTGTAAAAACAGAGAAAATGGGAGAGGCTCTTCCAACAAAAACATGCTATACCTTAACTAGTTTTTAAGAGTCAGAAAGTCAGTTACCTTCAAATGTGCTTAACACAATATATGTATGTATGTATTGTGATAAGAGCTGTATGAGCCCTCAATAAAATCATTGGGAAAGAAAAACGGTACCTTAAACACCCAAGAACCAGTTTCAGGTCGATATTCTTTGAACCGAGCTCCCTGTTTTCTTGAAACGGCTTCCAGCCTCCCTTCATAATTGATATCAGCAAGTCGATCTGGACTCTTGATCAAACAACGGGATGTTTTATCTGTTGGCCAAACTCCATCTAATGTAACCTCAGCTTTCCTGTAAAGCATACACAAGTAAGTGTAAATGCTTCTATTTTAGACCAGAAAGCCAATTTATATAGATATATACATACCATAAAAAGATTTCCAAGTTTCCTTGGACTTATAGTACAAGTGTTTTATGATTCAAGTATCGGCATTCCGGGCAGATGAATTTAATAGCCATGAGTTACAAAACATATCAACCAGCTCAGCTCATTATTTGATTCTGTAATCAGGTTACATTTATTTAAAACTATCATAAACAAATTATTTCTAATTTAATTTTAATAACTTAGGTAATGAATTCTTAACCAAGTAATTTAGGGCATATTCCAGTCCTAAGACCTAAATCGGAGTGCACCTAATAACAGTAGTAATAATAGCAGTTATTACCATTTACTAACACCAAATATCACAGGATGAAGTATAAGGAACATCACAGTACTAATGAGTAAGTAAACACTATGTACAACCTTTCTGGAAAGTGTTAAGATACTTCCTCAAAAAGCTAGGAATGGAAATACCATTATGACTCAGCAATCCCTTGGAATATATACCCTAAAAAGCCAAAGGGTGAACAGATATGACACACCCATGCTCATTGCAGCACTATTCACAGTAGCAGAAAGATGGAAATAACCTATATGCCCCGCCCATGGAAGAATGGATACTTTAGTACATACAATGCTAAAGAATTACAAAAGTGTGAAATATCTCATGAGATGGATGGATTTGGAGAACATTATGCTAAATTAATCTATCACAAGTGGACATATATGAAACCACTGTTAAAAAATATATATATAAACCAAAAAGATGAGATTGTCATACCAAATGAAACATCCCTCCAGGGATGGGAGGGAAGAAGAGCGGAAAAAGCAGCAAAAGCTAGCAGACAGACAGGTGTTAACTTGGGTAAAGGGGAGATAATATTCCACAAGAGAAGAAGAGAAAAGGGGAGGAGGGGGAACGACAGGGTAAGCTATTGGGACATTGGATATGGCTTAAATTATTGAAAGAATGATGACTTAAAATGTAACCCCCTAGCTAATTCACAAATTTTTAAAAAAATCAATAATAGTAGTACATTTAAAATCAATTTCTGAGTTTAAGTACTAGCACAATTAATAAAATGAATTAACTTATAGAACAAATAAAGACCCAGAGAATGCCACTGAAGCTGCTACTCCAAATGTGGCTACAAAGTTAGTAATAAGATAGATAATTTAAACCATTGTTTTTTCACATGACAAAAGAAATAAAAGGAAAAAAGAAACAAAAGAAGTTAGTGTCCTGGGTTAAAATAAAGACTTAAAGATAAAGATTTAAGCTTGGGCGTAGCAAGGAAAGGGGAGGGAAACAGCAAAATAAAATATTAAAACACATGCTAGGAAACTAGCAGTTGGCCCTGATAATATTAGGGAAGAAAAAAAATCAGAGCAGCACTTCTTGATCATTGAGACCTTCAAATGAGAGCAAAGAAATAATGGCGTGGTAAATAGTTAAGTATGCTGCCAGAGAGTGGTGAAGACAGGAGGGGAAAGGAGCAGATACCAAGGGCTCAAGTAGGAAAAAAATGTTTTGAAAATGATTATGGCAACATATGAGCAAATAAATGTGCTTGACACAGTTGATGTGTGGATTTTTATTAGAGGTGTTAAGAACCCCCAATAAAATGGTTTATATTTTAAAAAGCAGGTTTCAGAAGAATGTGTTTATTTTTAAAAATTGTAATTGATATTTTCTCTTAGAAAATCATTATCAGGCAGAGATGATTGTAAACTTGATTATGGTGGACTGAACCCTGGTATAATATGGTCAACTGACCTCCCTTCTTGATCCAACCTGAATTTGCTCTAGGCTGAAGTATTTCTCATTTGTTCTGTGACAGAAATTTCTTCTCTGGCTTTTTAAATATTGATGGTGACCTTTTTTTCCTTTTAATAAATCATTTTATTGGGGACTCACACAACTTATCACAATTCATACATCCATCTTGTCAAGAACATTTGTACATTTATTGGCAACGTTATTCCCAAAACATTATCTTTCTACTTGAGCTCCTAGTTTCAGCTCCTCGCTCCCTCATGAACCCTTGATAATTTATAAATTATTATTTTTGATCTTTTATCTTACTCTTTATTTGTATCTTCATCTTTATATTATTTTCTTCTTGCTGTTTTGTTTCTGTTTCTGTTGGATTTCCCAGTTTGTGTATGGATGCTTACAAACAATAACTGATGCAAGGGTTTATCAGGGATGTGTAAGAGGGGTGGGAGGTGTGAAGCATTGAAAGGATGTGGGGAGCAAACAATGAATGGGGGAGGGAGCAGTAGAACTAAACTGATTGTGATGATGATGTATATACAACTTTTTTTAAAAAGTGATTTAACCTTGGAAGTGTATGATAATGAAATATCAAGAAACCTACTAAAAAAGAAAGAATGAAACCAAAGCTGACCAATGTTTACCATGGGTGAAGGAGATAAAAAGAGTTGTTGTGTAGGAGGCTTTGAGTTGTTTATGTTAATGGGGGTGGAATAATTTGAAAAAGTATATCTATATTGATTGTACAACACAAAGAGTATAATCAATGGCACTGAATTACAGATGTAGAAGTTGTGGAATTGGAGACCATTTTGTTGTATACATTTTCCCCACAATTAGAAAAAAATTTACATTAATAACAATGAGTACAAAGAAGAAAATGTTCAAAAATTGACTGGTGATAATTGTACAATTCTTCTTGCTATGACTAAATTATTGAATTGTATGGCACATGAAGTGCTAATAAAACTTAAAAAGAATGAGAAAAGGATAAAGAAATAGTACCTATTGAGTCCTTCACCCACAGGTGGTTTTTGGTTATCATCTAAGTAGACAATCACTTCTTTCCTTCGGATATGCACAATATCATCCAGATTTAGATTTGTCAAATTCACATCTCCTTCAAAATATATTGAACCATAACCTACAAGTCAGAGTCAATAGTTAAAAATGTAAACATTAAAAATTCCTCTTCAATGAGGGCAAATGACTACTTTACACTTCTAGTGATAAAACAAACAAAAGGATCAAGGAGTCTACTCATCAGTCAAGATTCTAAATCATCCAGCCATTCCTAAGGTGAGTGGTTTCTCCAAAATATTGAGAAAATGGGGGAATACCTGAGGACATAAATTACTCTGGCTTTAACATTTACATTTTTATAATACTATTGTCCCCAAAATAGCCTTCTTAAACCTCTGCCTCATATTTGTAATGCTACTATGCAAACAACTCTTAGTGCATAGGCTACAGTTAGTCAGAATACCAGCACTTTTTCTACAAGATGAGATTTTGTCACCACCTCCCCAAATAGCTTAACAACATGATGCTGAACAAATGTATTACCCATCTCTTGTTACTTATTCAACTATGTTACTTAGTATTTCTGGATCTTTTCAGCATTTTCCTTAAATGAGGAAAATTTTAAATGGGACAATTAGTTACCCATCCCATCCAAGTATAACTAAGCTCAAAGAATGACACATAGTTCTAGTTATTCTCATTTTATGTCAATCAAAGCATCTACTATTCAGGCCAAGGTATTTTGCGTGTTATACCCAAATAGAAGAAGAAACAGACCCATCTATTAAGAGATTCTCTTTACTTCATTAAAAACTCAAGATGCAGACCTTTGTGGTCACACGCACCTTTACGTCCAATAGTGAAGTCAGACACAACGCATTCCCCTTTCTCATTGGTAATTTTAGCAAGATCTTCCATAGAAGGAATGGTATAGTAACCAACTTTGGTGAGAACAATACCTGTGGTGATAGAAACATAAAATAGAATATTAATTGTGAATATTCTTGGATAGAAGAAGTGATCTCTAGACAACTGGGGAGGAGGTGGGGAAAGGGAACAAAAAAAAAATGATGAAAAAAAGGAAGAAATGGGTAGCGTGGGCACAGGGCGCTAACCCACCCAAGGGGAGGGTATTGTTTATATCTCCACAGGAAAAGAGGGACCAGACGTCAACCCAGTGCTCCAAAGTGTGAATGCAACATGCCGGCGCGGAGTAGGGAGCCAGTGGAGAGGTCTGGGGGGCTGGCCCCAGTCCCATATACTAAGTGAATGCTTGCACCTCCCTCGAGAAGAATTTATTTCAAAGGACGGCACTGAATCCACAGCTCCAGGAGAGGGATGTATCTGATCGGTGCACACGGGAGCAGATGACGGGGGAGGAGGAGAGACTGGAGCACATCCTGGCCCACCAGGCCTTGAGGACGATAACCCCAATTAGAACAGCCAGTCACAGAGAGGACCAAATGGCCAGCCCACTATGAGAAATGATGCCCCTCACTGACCCATGGCCCTATGAGGGACACCAGAGACACAGTGTGGGAATTGCACCCGATCAGATCCCACCACAGAGGCAAAGCACTGGGGGAATGCAGCGGAATAGCA